CCCCAAAACCCCAAAACCCCAAAACCCCAAAACCCCAATACATGCCTCCAACCTTGAAATACTATCTAAAAATTACCTCTAACACTCTCAAATTATATATTTTATCCAAGATTTTTACTCTAATTCGTACTCATCCCAAACAATCTTTTTACATTTTGGTACTCTCTTTCATTCCATCCTAAAGGAGTTCGTTTCTCAGATGGCGCCAAATTCTGCTTTGAAGCATAGCTCTGGACCCCACTCTTACTCTGTGAAGGCTCAACCTCTTGGGTAACGTGGATTTCGACATCTTGAGGTACCTTTTTCTATAGATTTTATAGGATAATTTACAACATCTTTCTTTTTGGGAGCTGTCTTTTTAGAGCAGCATTTTCCCTTTAAGAACACTCCAACTGTCACAATTCAAGAAGCTAAAGTTTAGGTTCTAAGCTTACTCAAAGAAATAACTGAGATGCAGATTATGTTTCCAAAGATTACATTCATTAAGATTTTGGCAAGAGTGTCTGTCCACTGAGACTCTTTATTTATAAATCACAACCAAATTGTTATGAGAGTCAGAAAAAGTTCATTTATACATTCTACAATGTTGTTTGTAGTGTCTGCAAATGGTCTGAAGATAATTATGAAGCCAAGGTAAGGTGCATGAATACAAATAAAACCAACAATCAAAATTTGAGGTCCCACAAAAGAGAATACCACTAACCAGACACAGAACAAAAACCTTCTAATCAATCCAAAGAAAGCGTATAGTTTTGCAATATTGTTTTGTCTTATCCCGACTAAAAATTCTTTACATCTTTTTGACTCATCAAATCCCTGCTTCGTAGAAAGATAGCTAACATATAATGGAAGCTGAAGGAATCAGCAAGCCATAAAGAATGCAGCAATGGAGAAGCATAGGGATAGCTTTGATTCAGTACTATTTATCTCTCCTCTCATAAAAGTTGCAAGACTTGACAATAGGATGTACTGATAGGACTCAAATATAGTCCTTATGTATATTGTAAATGAGAAAAACCCACGCAGCCATAATATCAGTCTATAAATTCTTAATCTGCATTTCTGATTTTCTTTGGTTGGCTTGAATGTTGGAAGCAAATACAATAACAAATGAGGAATCATTAACATCAATAATGTCAGTATTAATGTTAGATTGTTAACCACTGAACTTCCTGACTGGAATCCAATCGCTTCTAACTCAATATTAGCTACAATCTTAACAACGTTATCCTTACTTTGATTTAGATTGATTTTCTCAGACAGCAAGCTGACTCCAGGAAGCCCATTGGTTCTGACTGATGACAGTGAAAATGGAAATCCAGCTCCTTCACCTAGAAGCATGCCTTTTGGATCATCAGGTATGAATACCTTAGTCAATATTATTAGTCCCATGACTTGGAGTTGATGTACCATTGACCAGATTCCAATTGGGGAACTTAGTTTGAGTACTGATGAAATAACTGATGCTAATCCTCCAGCACTCGCTGCAGTTTGAGATGATGAAGCTGTAGCTTTGCCAGATGCTGACATAGATACTTTAGATAATCTTTTTCAAAGACTTTCTTTGTTCAACTTGGTATCCTTCTCTCATTCTGAACATTTTGTATGGTCTTGATCCTCACACTTAGTGCAGAACTCCAGTTCTCACAGATTTCATGTTGAAGCAGCGCTCATGTTTCCTTCAGTGCACACCCAGCCAGTCTCCACTTCTCAGTTGTCACTACAGCCGTCTCCACTGTTTGTGTTTCCGTCATCTCAAAATTTGACTGGATCTGTATTAGAGAGAAGCATTCCGTTTCCACAAATTACTTCGCAGGTATCAGAGGATGTCAAAGATCCTCCAGCTCATGTATAATCATCTTCAATGAAGGAGCAGGTGGAATCTCAGCCATCATTTGAATTGGTGTTACCATCATCGCATACTTCAATAGATAGCTTGATGCCATCTCCTCAAACAGCCGATCAGGTATCTTGGGATGTGGGGGATCCTCCACTTCAATTATAACCAATCTCAACTATTCATGATGAACTGCATCCATTGCCGTTGTTGGTATCATTGTCATCTCATTGTTCAGCTCCTACTCTGATTCCATCACCTCAGATAGAAGTTCAAGTATCACCTCTAGATGATGATCCTTCAATGCAAATATACCCAGGCTCAATCTCTCACAAACTGCTTCATCCATCTCCACTGACTGTATTTCCATCATCTCATTCTTCCCCTGTGACTCTTAAGCCACTGCCTCATACTCCTTGTAAACTTCCTAAACATAACTTAGCTGGCTTACTTTTTCCTTGGGAAAGGATCTTCACTGAGCTGATTGTGAGGTTTCTAGAACAAGGGGAAGGACATCTTAGTTCTCTAATCTCTGAACTCATTATACTCTCTGTCTGGGAGGGAAGTATGGTAAATCCTTCTGAATTCTCCTGAAAATGATGGGAAATAACTTACTTTGTTGGTAAAATAGGATTCTGGAGTAAATATTTGAGAGGTGTTTGTGGTTTCTTCAAGGCTAAGTTCCATTTCAACCTCGATAACTTGGCCTTCTTTTGCTTTAAATGGGACTGATAATATCAAAAAACTAAAAATTAATATTAAATGGTTTTTACCTTTCGCTATGAAATGTGATTCCCACCAAAGAAAGCACCGGTTTATTTTCTAATTTTTCTAAATTTTATAAAAACAAATACCTGGCATAACGAATATCGGATGCTTCAAGCAGCCTTCTGTGGATCATATATAACTGGTATTTTCAGGAAGACCTCTGAATGAATATGTCACTGGCAGTTCTCAGCTTGTCATATGTAGAAAAATGATCACAAATATTGAAATCCTGATAGTTTTAAAATCTCTGTGGGCCTAAAAATTATAGATTAAATTTTTTACTCATTTCTTCCTAGCTTAAAATAATGCTTCGCGCTAATAAATTTTGAATATTATCGATAAACACAGACAATAAAAGGAGTAAGAACATTTCCATTTAAATTCTGCTAATTACTAGTACCTGGTAGGAGAAAAGTAAGCGATTATAACTTTGAGTTTTAAATAGGCCTGTTTGTTTGATTCATGGAAATTTTAATAATGATTCTGGGAAGAATGCCTGAAAAGCCTTATATAAGGGAGATTATTAAATTAACTATAGATAAAAATCGAATTCAGACTTCATCCTAGCATTTAGTAAACAGTTAGAATTCATTGCAAACAAGTTAGGTTTAAGTGATTTTTCTATTAGCTAGATTCTTTATCTCAAGAAAAACATGTTTAAAGCATTCAGGATAGCATTTTTATAATAGACACTCAAGATTTCGAATATTTTGAGCAAAAATAGTAGGAAAACCAACAAAGACTACGTTTTCGGGGTAAAATTAAGAAGTTCAAGAATGCTGCCATTCACCTAAGCTTTAAAATCTTTCAAAGATAATAATTTTTAAACTATTAGCCCTTAGTGGCCTCAAACTAAATATATTTGCATCTAGAAAGATAGTACAAACACGAGTTTGAATATTATTTATAGAGAACCTACCTCCATTTTAAATTTAATAACCTTAATTATTTTTTTGCGTTATTTAATATTATTTCAGCCCTCTGGCCTCTTATTGGGGTTTTGGGGTTTTGGGGTTTTGGGGTTTTGGGG